CCCCAGGGCATGGGCTCCTCTTCAAAGACCCTCATTCACACCCCAAAACAGCCTGGGCTCCACACCTCTCTCTTGTACCCACTCCCACCCCACCCCACTCTGCTCTCCAGGCAATGACTGTGCTGAAGTTTGGTTTCTTTCCCGCAGGGCCAGTTTCTTACACTGTTTTCTTCTCTCTCTTTTTCTCTGTCTCTCTCTCTCTCCTTCCCTCGCCCTTGCCCCTGCCCACGGGGCCTCCTTGCTTCCCCCACCCCCCGCCCCGGCCACTGGGCTGCCCACCCCGGGCAGGGAAGGCCGGATGGTGGTGCTATCCTTGGTCTTAGGGCTTTCGGAACAGGATGACTTTGCCAATATCCCTGACCTGCAAAACCCAGGAACCCAGCAGAACCAGAACGCTCAGGGGGACAAGAGGTACGCGCCCAAGCGAGGGTCTGCAGCGGCGGCGGCAGAGGAGGCGGCGTGGAGAGGCCCAGGCCTCGGCTGGCCCTGGCGGCTGGACGAGGTGGTGCCTGCGGTGGAGGTGGATGCTGGCAGCGGGCAGACAAGCCCCCTCCCCAGGGGGCGCCTCGACACAAGTCCACCTTGGCGGTGCCCCTTGGGTCTGAGGCCACGTGGCCGTCCTGGGACCATTCTGGATCAAGCCTGCTCCCCGGGCACGCTTGCCCCTCGCCCGGAGCAAGCCCAGCCTTCTCTGCCCCATCTCCTTGCTTGGCTTCCTCTGCTGTCCCTTCCATCTTTCATCTGCCCGCCCCCCCTGCCACCCCAACCCAGAAATCCCTGTTTCTCTGGTGGTTGCTGGGTGAGGGGATGTCAGGGAGGGGCAATAGCCCGTTCTCCCTCATCCCCGCTCCCTCAACCTTCCTCTTGCCTGGAGGTCCCTGTAGGGTGGGGGCTGTACACCCCTGTACCCCGCTTCAGGGGTGCGACTGGGCTGTGCAAGGAGTGGGAGAGGAAACGGGGGTGGGAGGGTCTGAAAGCAGAGAACACAGACATGCAAGAGAGAGGCCTGGTGACAGGCCAGACAGACGGCTCCTGAGCCTGGGGTACAGGAGGGCACAGCTGGCCACAGCGGGCTGGCCACAGCGGGCTCCCCACTGGTGGCACTGTTGCTGTCCATCCTTTAAGGTCCTGGGAGACCAGGAGCCATGAGTGTGCCTATGGCCACAGGCTCCTAGGAGGTTGGGTGTAAATGCTGTAACCTCGGCCATCAGGAGTTCAGGAAGTCCTTCCAAATACCCCTATCCAGGAATGATGCTCTTGGGAATGGGGACAGATTAGAGGTCCCTGCGCTCAGGTGACATTATACAGTGACAGGAGACGTGGCTCAGGGCGGCCTTGAGTTGGGCGACCCCATGCCTGTTAGCCTCCAGTGGTGAGAAGAGAACACAGATTCTGGGTCAGACTGCTAGGGGACCCGTGGGTGGGTGGGAGCCCAGCGGCCAGCTCCCCTCCCGCTTTCAAGCTCTGGCTCTGTGACCTTCAGCCAGTCCCAGCCCCTCCTGGGTCTCCACTTCCTCATCTGGCAGATGCAGACACTGCCCAGGGTGACCCCTGAGAGTGAGGCCCCAGCTCTGACATGCTAACTTGTTAATGAGGAGGGTGGGCCCTGGGGCTGGATGGATGTCAATGCTGTGCGCTGAGCAGGAACTGTATGTGGAGGGGCGACCATGCTGCTGCCCACAGAGCAGTCAGGACAGGAAGGGGCTTGCCGAGGCGGCCTCTGGGTGCTTGTGGGCTGCAGAGGGGTGGACAGGCCGACTCCTCTGTCCCTCTTGTGGCCTCTCACTTCTCCCTGTGCCTACTCCATAGTGACAAATCTGTGGCAGACAAAGGGAGAGGGCCCAGGACAGGACAGGAGAGTGGCCAGTCCTCTTCCTTGGCATAGACATGATCAGCCCTGGGCCTCCGTCCAGGTGTGCAGTAGGGGTGGGGCCTGCCATCCTGTTCATGTGGATAGGGCAGGAACACAGTTTCCTGGGCGACAGGCAGGCCGCTGGCCATGGGGAGAGGTGCAGAGAAACCTGGGCTCTGGCGGCTGCTGGGAGCCCCAGCCCCTGGCGGGGAGAGGTGTGAAGCGTGAGGGATCAGGTGCAGGCTGGAAACAAGATTTCACATCCCCCATGTGTTAATTAACTGGCTCCATTTTCACCCACAGCCTATTTTTACGTCCCTGGCACTCAGGTCTCACTCCATATTTTAACACACCCATGCCTTCTGATCATGACATCAGCTTGTCCATAACCTGTCTTTCCTTCCTTCCTTCCTTCCTTCCTTCCTTCCTGGGAAAGGCGGGTGCGGCGGTGGAGGCCACGGGGCCATCCCACCTGGCCTGGCTTTCCGAGTGGACACATGCCATTCCCATCAGCCATGCTCACCCCATCCTTCCAGGCCCCGGGGGTCTCCTGGGAGACTGGCCACTGCAGAGGAGCCCTGAATTGAGAGCACCCTTCCCGTTTCCGCTTCCTCCACATGATCTCATCCCAAGGCCCCACCCCTAAGGGTTTCAGAGCTCCACCTGGGTTGGGGGCAGGCTGGGCCTCCCCTTGTTCCCCTCTACTTGTTTCTAGAGTGAGATGGACAGCCCTTAGATTTTTGGGGAGACCACCTTCCATTCCCATTCGGCCTGTTAGAGATTCAGGAAGGTCTCCTGAGAGGCAGAGGGCCCATAACGAAGAATGGCCACTCCAAGCCCCAAGCGAGACGTGGGTATGTCCACAAATCAGAAGGCACAAGGAAGGTCACTAGGATTCCTGGTGGCCTTGAAGCCCCCCACCCAGAACCTACCAGTCCTGAGCCGCCTCACCAGACAGCAGGACACCCACAGCCCCTGGAGGGAGGGAGGCCCCGGTGCCCACACCCAGCTGTGCCCATTCCACGCTCACCCATCCCAGCCTCATCCCCTTCGCCATTGCTCCTTGGGATCCAAATGGTTTCCACCGTGGCCCCACCCCCACCCCGAGTGGGGCGCAGGGTGGGGACCAGGCCACCCCATTGCTCTCCTCGCTCCGAGGCCACCATGTTTCTCCAGCCCCGTGTGTGTCCCCTGCCTCCTCTCTGCCTCTCCTGTCGGCGCCTTGCTCCTCCTCGCCCCTGTCCACCCGTCTGGCAGCCTCCCTCACACGTCTTACTAACCTTTCTTTGGTCCCCCTCTCTCTCTCTCTCTCTCCTCTTCCTTCCTTCCATCTGCTCCCCACAGGGATATCCCCTGGGCCGGTGACGGGCCACTCGGCCTCTCCCTCCACCTCTCTGTGCCTCTCGTCCTCTCTGTCCCTCTCTGTCCTGTGACCTCTGACAGCTTCCGTGGCGCTGACCATCTTTCCCAGGCTGCTTTGCAGCTGTGCTGACGCTGTGATGTGGCCAAAATAACTCCGACTTTCTCATACCTTCAGCAGTCAACCTCGCGCGCTCTCCTCTCCGCTCTATTTTTAACCTGACTTTACCTCTCCAGCTATTTCGGTCTCCTCTTCCTCCCCGTGCCTGTCTGCGTGAGCACGTGTCCACGCGTATGTGTCCGTGCGTGTCCCTTATGTGTGTGTGTGTATGTGTATGTGTGCGCACACAGGGGCCTGCACCTCTGTGGCCAGCCCCACGTCTGGGAGAGGGGGCCAGGCCGGGTCAAACCAGGCCTCCACGGCAGGTGTCTCGTGTGATGCTCGGGGTGTTCACCCCCAAAACAGCCCCCTGCTTTTTCTGTTCCAGTCCTTCCCAATTCACGTGCAGGCCTTGGCATGCCTGGGTTTACCCAGATGCATCTGCTGCCGGGATCTGGGGGTGCCGTCACAGCTCTTCTGGCCACCCGCCTGGTGGCTCCTGGCCCCAGTCTGCTGGGAGTCTTGTGCTCATCTGCACGTGTTTGTGTGTGTGCGTGTGTGTGCGCGCGTGCCTCGTTTATGTATGTGTGTACGCGCTCTACAGCTGGATCCTGGTGTCTCCCTCCAGGCCCAGCCTCTGCTCGTGCATGTCTGTCTGTCTGCCTGCCGTGGCTGCCTGTGGGCTGGTGGCTGGTCTGGCCCAGAGGCCGTGGCTCCTGTCCAGCCCGTGTGTGTCTCTTGAGTCTGTGGCCGTCACAGCTGTTCTATTCTAGCCTGTCCCAGCCTCATGCTGCCAGTCTCTCCGTCTCCTCCTGCCTGTCCCCCAACCCCCTCCTCCTCATGGGACATTCCAGCCTGGTCCTGGGCAGGCCTTTGGGCCCCCTTCCGGTCACCACCCAGCCCCTGGGCCAGAGGGCAACTTCATGGGGATGGCATGGAGTCAGAGTGTACACAGAATCTGATGTAGGATGTCAGATTGAGGGCGCCAGTGTGCCCCCCGCCTCCGTCCCTGGAAGTGACCTGATGAGGTGTGCAGAGCACAGAATGCAATGAGGGTGTACATGCACCGTACCCCGCACAAGGCTCTTTCTGCGAATTTAGATCGAGTGGAGACTGTTTTAAGTTAGACTCATCACATTCCAAGAGTTCAGTCACCACATGCGGCCGGGGGGCAGCGACCTAGGGCCTCCCAGTGACAGAATGCTTTGGTCCCCCACGAGGTTCGGCTGGACGGGGCCTCGCCTGGCCAGTCTTACGTCTGCCAGTGGGCAGAGCTCATATGTTCCTCTTGAGCAAACACACGTAGGGGCCTCCAGGAGACAGACGCTGGGCATGTTTGCAGAGAGGGATGACGCAAAGCGAGGCCCCGGGCTCGCCAGCGTGGAGCCTGCCCAAGGGCCTCTCCGGCTGGGGTGGGGGGCAGCCTGCTTAGAGAACACTGTGCCCCAACTTTGCTTCTGGGGGGTGAGAGGAGGGAGCACCCCAGCCAAGGTCGTCGTGGGGCAGAGCTGACATACATACGAGCTACAGGGAGGAGGGATGGCACTCTGGTTTCCAGGGGAAATCAGGCCCTCGATGGACAAGGTGAGGGCAGCCAGGGCCTCCGGATGAGCCGTCACGCCCAGGCCTGTGGCGCCCAGCCCACACCCACCTGCCAGCCTGTTCTCACCTGGACTCCCCCACCCCCAGGTTACCCACAGGCGGGAAGGCGGTGAACACAGCCCCAGTGCCGGGCCAGACGCCCCACGATGAGTCTGATCGCCGCACTGAGCCACGCTCCTCTGTCTCGGACCTCGTCAACTCCCTCACCAGCGAGATGCTTATGGTGAGCTGGGCAGGAGGCCCGGGACCTGGAGGAAAGATGGGCAGGACAGGGTGGTCTCAAGAGAAAGAAAGTTAGTGGCATGGACAGGGTCTCCACTCAGGAAGACTGAGTCCGGGGCAGCCTGGAAGGCCAGGCCCCATGTCAGGACCGCTCAGCACTTGTGACCTGGGTTCATGTCCCAACTCTTCCCACCAACATTACCTCCCCGTGCCTTGGTTTCCTCATTCATCAAGTGCTAATGTCTGGATTACAAACCTGCTACCTGTGGTCCCTGAGCCGGCCAAGGGGGACAGCGGCACTGCCCCATAGGGTTAGCGCTGGGTCTCATTTCTGGTGGAACTGATGCTTCCCCAGAAGACTGAACCCAGCGCTTAACCTCTGCACTACCAGGCCCTGGATTTAAAAAATACCTATGCAAACCTACTCTTGGGACATGTTTTCATGATCCTGGAGGAAGGGCTGGTGGGCATCCCTCCCTCAGAGCAGAGTCCCTTTGAGTCCCCCTGCCGAGCCCGTCTCCCATACCCAGACCAGGGACCTCCTGGAACTGGTATTGCTGGGGGCAGCTGAGGTCAGAGAGTAGAGACTGGCAAGCCCGAGTCTATGAGGGGACAGCTGTGCCGGGTCCTCCCAGCTGTACCCACATCCCTCTTGGACTACACCCCCACCTGGTGGCTTTACCCCTTAGAGTTTGTCCGAGGCCCACAGGGGTGGGTTCTCGTGATAGACCTTTCTGGCAGAGGTGAGCCAGCCTTCAGGCTTGTCCATGCTCCCTAAAGTGCTCTGAGGGTCCGGCCTTCAGGGAGGGTCACCACTGGAGAGAGAACTCCGTCATGGGGCAGCCTGGGATTTGAAGATAGGGGTCAGAGGTCTGGCCTCCAGAAGCTGTGAGGTTGGGGACATGGTGCCTGCTCTGCTCAGTGTCTTGGCCTGGAGCAGGTTATGGCCCCTCTGAGCCACCGTCCTGGAGGCCTAGAATACCTGGACCCCGCTCTTCTGCCACCTCTATCCATCCGTCGTCCCCACTGCCCATTTCCAGCCCCGAGCATCTCATGAATGCATCGAATCATTTGGGAGCTTATTAAAGCGCAGGTCCTGAGTCAGTTGCCTTAGGCAGGGCCCACAGTGGACCTGGCTTTGGGATCTAGATTAGAACATGAGTTGTCCCTGTCCCAGATCTGGTGTCCCTTGAGCCTGTCCCCCTAGGCCTCTGCATGCTTGATCCTCCATGACTCTCTCCTTTTGCCCCTGTCCATGTGGACTGGCCTCTGCACCCCCTCCTCTGGATAGAAGGGCATCACTAGCCACTCCAGACTAGTAGCCAGGTTCCCAGAAGGGACAGCGCTTCCCCAGTGCTTCCCTTCTACCCTTAGGGAGGGCCAGGCAGCTGCAGCCAGCAGGATAGGCAGGTACCACCTCTCTCTCCATCACATCCTCAGGGAAGGAGGTGGACGCTTAGGCTAGTGCCCAGCCCAAGGCCAGAGCCAGGCCAGTGTCTGCATTAGGTGCTGCTGGATCAGTTCTGACTTGCAGGGCCACATGTACAACAGAAGACACTGCCCAGTCCTGTCTGAGCCCATGGCCACTGTCACCATGTCCATCCAACTCGTTGAGGGCCTTTCTCTTTTTCACTGACCCCCTCCCTAGCCAAGCACATGGCTCTTCTCCAGGGACTCAGTGAGTAGCACAGGAATAACACCCCCCGTCACCATGACCTGGCTGAGCCCCTGTGGTCCTCAGGCCTCCAGATGTCAGAAGTTGGGGTCAGCAGACAGGTTGGGTACTCACAGCTGACCAGAAGCCAAAGGAAGGGGCTGAGGCTGGGGGACTGAGAGCAAAGGCCCTCTGCCTGGCACTGGACCCACTAGGAAGCTCCCCACTGCAGCCTTCTGCAGGAGCAGGGGCTGGGGTAGCATCTCAGGGGGAGGGATGGCCAGCCCTGTTGCCATGGTGATGGTACCATGAGCTGCCCCAGCCTGTTAATTAGTCTCAGGGCTGTGGCCATGCTGAGAAAGGCTTGGAGCAGGCATAAAGCCCCTGCCTCCTGCGAGGTGAAGCCCACCTGTGTGACAACAGAGGGCCAGGTGGCCAGTGGGACCCTCAGATGGGACTTTACTCTCCAGAGAGAGGCAAACAGCCTCTGCAGGGTCTCAGTCACAGGGCCCGCAGGGCAGGGCAGACAGTGGGGAGGAGCAGAAGAGATGGCAACCCCAGCAGACAGGTTTGGGGTTCCGTCAGCAAAAGCCAGGTTCTAAGGGAGTCAGACAGCTGGGAGCTCTGGGAGCAGAGGGCACTGTGGGGAACCTGGCCTCGATTTGAGGGGCCCAGGAAGGGGCTCTGAGATGGCCAGGTCCAAGCATGGTCAGAGGGGGGTAGTTGAAGATCCCCCTTCCTTGTGAGGAGGAACAGGAGAGCCGCTCAGCCCTTACCCTCCAGCAGTGACTGGTGACCGCCCAGACACTGGCCCTGAGCATGAGAGCTGCACTAGTGACTGGCCCTTCACCAGGGTTCAAGTTCCAACCCAGCCGCTTAGTCACAGGTATCCTGGGGCAAGTCATCTAACCTCCCTGTCCCCCAAACACAAATTGGACTCTAGATGTACCTGTCTCGTTGGTTTCTAAGGAGTAAATGAGGTGATTCGGCTGCTGACACCCAGGGTGGAGCCTAGGCAGGGCGCCCAGCTGACAGGGAACAGCACTGACTCCGGTCAGTTCCAGCTGAAAACCACCTTGTCCCCTGTGGACAGAGTAGAACCGCCCCCAGGGGGTTTCAAAGCTGTAAATCATTACGGGAACAGACTGGCACATCTTCCTCCCAAGGAGGGCTGGTGGCTTCAAACCACTGATCTCTGCATTAACAGGGCTCCTCTGACAAGGGCTAGTTCCTGTGGTTCACATAGTTTTGCTGCTTCTCACCTGGGCCGAGTGGGTCCAGACTCACTTGGGGGGAACGTCTCCAGCTGCCCGGGGAGGGAGACTGCTTTGACGTGTCCCTCCTGGCTGTGCCGTCTTGGACAGGTGACTTAACCTCTCTGAGCCAGTCTCCTCAGTTAGAGGCAGATGGCAGCCGCCTCGCCGGGCTGTTGTCAGGATTCAGTGAGAAGGTGACGTAAAGGTCTTCGTCCACGGTAGGTGTGCACTGGGCATTATTGCTGCCCGCATTTATGCTGAGGGTTTCAGAGCTGGGGGTGGTCCCCCAGGATGGAGGACAGGCACAGATCAGGCTTGTGCAGGGGGCTGGTGGGGGCGAAACAAGATGCAGGGCTTAGCTTCTTCCCGTCTCCATCCCCCAGTGACCAGGTCCCACCCTGGCTCTCACCCAGCCTCCTGAGAAGCCTTCAGGCACACAGATGCATCTGGGGTGGGGCCCAGCCCCAGGGGATTCAGGCTGGTTTGAAACCCACCCTTAGGTACTCTGTGTGCAGCCAGAGTTGAAGAGAGTTGGCTGAGATCCCCTCTCCAAATGTGCTCCAGTCCAAACCAGTGACCATGCTACGAATTCCAGCTCGTGACCCCGGGTGTGTCAGGGTGGAGCTGTGTTCTGGACAGTTGTCATTGGCTGATTTTTCCAGAAGTAACTCACCAGGCCTTTCTTCCGAGGTGCTTCTGGGTGGACTTGAACCTACAGCCTTTCACTTAGCAGCGGAGTGTGTTAACCGAATCGCCCACCACTGCTTCCTTTGTTCTCAGCATTGGGCTGGGGATTCTCTTCCAGCCTCACCCTCCATGTGCCTGTCCATTGCCGGGTCCCCGCGCACGAGCCCCCTTTGGGGATGGAGACTGAAAGCAGCTGTAGCCTCTGTGCCAGCTCTCTGACACACATGTAACACTGCTCTCATCTGGAGCACTCTTTAAACAATACGACCCCCAGGTCCACCCGAGCCCGAGCAAATCGGCCCCTGTGTGTGGGGCTGGCACGCTGTGGTTTAAGCTGTGTTTTATTCATGCCTTACACAAATAGACATTGCTCCCCAAAACTCACCGCTCTCATTTTGCAAATCACCTCCCCCTCGGTCCCCCAGAGAGCCACTTTCCAGAGAAGAATCTTGCTAAAGCCATTTGAGATGTGAATACTCTCCCTGATCTGCTTTGCAGCCCAGGTTTTTGTGTCAGTGTGTTTCACAGTGGGCCCCGCATGGCAGCGTGGGAAGGTGGGGTGGGAGCTTCAGGACCTCAGGGCAGCACTGGGACAGCTGTCACCAGGGAGAAGGCAGTCTATGGTGATGCTTGGGGACGGGGCAGGCCAGGATTCAGGGGGAGGCTGGGGAGTCACACATCCCCCTGAAGTTCAGGAGATGAATGTTTGGTCTACTCCATGTATGACCTTGGCCTTGGCACTTGCACTGACTCCAAGCATCTTCATCTGGATATGAACTTGAGTGACCACCACCACATGGGGACCAGAGGGTGGAGCTCCTTGGCAGCTGCTCTGGCCTCAGACACAGGGAGGTCCCTGGGTTGTGCTGGCCTGGAGTGTGGGGGGTGGGCCTTGGGGAAGCGAAGTCCTTAACCTCACTGGCCTGTCCCTGCCCCCAGCTCTCCCCAGGCTCTGAGGAGGACGAGGCCCATGAGGGCTGCAGCCGAGAGAACCTGGGCCGGATCCAGTTCAGCGTTGGCTACAACTTCCAGGAGTCCACGCTCACCGTGAAGATCATGAAGGCCCAAGAGCTGCCAGCCAAGGACTTCAGCGGCACCAGCGACCCTTTCGTCAAGATCTACCTGCTGCCAGACAAGAAACACAAGCTGGAGACCAAGGTGAAGCGCAAGAACTTGAACCCCCACTGGAACGAGACCTTCCTGTTTGAAGGTGAGCCCGGTGCCACCGCCCAGGTCCTGACGCCGTACGTCCACACATACCCAGCTGGCCTCACACACAAACTCATGAACACACGCACACATGCAGACACAGGTGCACCTTCACGGACACACAGTGTGCGAGCCCGTGTGAACACATACACTTGCACACAGCCACAGAGCCATGTGCCTCGGCCTTGTTTAGTTCAAGAATTTTTATTTTATTATTTTTCTGTGTGTGTACCGGCAGATCAGATCTGACTGGTACAGGAGGAGATGGCCCCTCCTTCTCCAGCAGAGCATCTGGTGGATTCGAACCGCATAACTCTGGGATTGCAGTGCAGCTTCTTGCCACTAGGCTACCAGAGCTCACTTAGTTTAAGAATTTAATTTTAGCAGAACCAGCATCATAGCCAGAGACCAAGGAAGAAAACTGGGGTGGGCCTAAGGTTTCCGCCCAGAGACAGAACTACCCACTCGGAGGTGAGGGGGAGGCAGAGAGGGAGGGCGTGCCCACAGTGTAGTGCCGATGATTAAGGCTGTGTGGCCTTCACCATGTTCCTGAACCTCTGGTCCCCGATTTGTAAATCAGCAGTAATAGTAAATCATACCCAAACACCTCTCTCTGTCCCCCAGTCAGTTCTGCCCCATAACAAATGATCTATACGACAGGCCTGAATTGTCCATAGGGCTTCCAAGACTGTAATTTGTGTGGAAGCAGACTGCCTTATCTTCCTCTCATGGAGTGGCTGGTGGATTCAAACCACCAACCTTGAGGTTAGCAGCCAAGCGTTTTAACCACTACAGGGATTAAACACATTTATGGAGCCCTTGGGTGATGATGCACATGGTTAATGTACTTGCTTGCCAACTGAAGAGTTGAAAGTTGAGTTCCACTCAGAGAGAGATGCCTCAGAAGAAAGGCCTGGCAATCTCCTTCTGGAAGAACACAGAATTGAAAGCCCTCTGCACACACCTGCCTCGTTTAGAATCCTCCCAGCAGCATCTAGAACCGGGAACAGAGGTCCTCTGTACATGTGGTTAGAGCAGCGTCACCAGGACTAAAATACCTGCTCGTGGAACGAGGGCATTCTCTGCTCTGAGACAGACCCCTCCCATGCACAGGAACTCCAAATTCCCTGGATTCCTGGAAGCCACTGAGGCCCACGTCGTTCCCTCTCGTGTAGCCCCTCTGTGAAAGATCAGCCTTTAATCTCTCCACGCTGGGAGTCATGGGAACTGGGAAGCTGGGTGTGTGAGCTGGACTGAGCGAGCGGCAGGTCCTTCTATCTCAGAAACCATAACCCTTTCCTAACAGCCTGGTTCAGTCAATAAGATTAAATCCCTACAATATTAAGTCCTGTGGCTCCAGACTCCTGGTGCCCCAGGACCCTGGGATCTTTCCCACTGGGAGTCCCTGCCACCCAGCACCTTGTGAATTGGCAAGGTGACAACCTACTCTCCCACTCACTTGAGGCTGCATGAACCCCTTTCTCTATACATCACAGTGGGTGCTGATTTAAAGATGGTACCCCCTAGTGCAAAGGAGCTCTAGTAGCCTAGTGGTAATGAGCTGCACTGCCAACCCAAAGGCATGTGGTTCAAATCCCCTAGCTGCTCTGAAGGAGGAAGTCGGACAGTTTCCTCCCATGTGATTTACAGCCACTGAAAGCCCACTGGAGGGTTAGTTCATAACAACAACTCCCCCCAGTAAGAGACTCTAAGTCCAGCTCCGATACGCCAGCCCCTTCCACCAGCATTTACAAATCCAGCATCAGGTGTGGGCTCAGCACAATCATGGACGTAGTTGTTACTGTGTGCCATTGAGTCAGAACCAACCTGTAGCTGACCCTTCAGCGGATTTTCAGAGACGGTAAATCACATGGGAGGAGACTGTCCATCCCACTCCCGCAGAGCAGCTGGTGGATTTGAACCGTGTGCCTTTGGGATTGCAGTGCAGTTTCTTACCATCAGGCCACCAGAGCTCCCAGTGGATCCTAGAGGAGGCAGAAAATGTGCTACCACCATGGTCTTCAAGGTGGTCCCAATCTCACTGAAGACAAAGCTGTGGAGTAATTAAACCAAGCACAATGCCCAGCGCCTCCAGAGCCCAGTGTGAGCACCCCCTGGTGGCAGTGGAGTTGTGGTGAGGTGTCTTCTGGCTGGTTCCAACTGAGACCCTGTGGACAACAGAACACTGCCCAGTCTTGTCCCCTCCGAGCAGTGGCCGTGTTTGAGCCGCACTGTCTCAGCTGCTGTGTAACCATCTCGCGGAGGGGCTCACCAAGCCCGACGTTCTTCTCCAGGGACCGGACCTTCCTGACAACATGTCCCGAATAGGTGAGGCCAAGTCTCGCCATCCTGACCTCTACAGACCATTCTGGCTGAACTGCTTCCAAGATAGCTATGTTTACTCTTCCGGAGGTCTACGGTCTATTCCATATCCTCCGTCAGCACCACAGGGAGCTCTGGTGGCCTGGTGGGTCAGGAGTTACACGGCCCACAGGCTGCTCCAGGGGAGAATGATGGGAAAATAACTGTGCATTTTACAGCCTCGGAAAACCCGCTGGAGGGTCAGCTAGGAGTCGATTCTGACTCCTTGGGAGAGAGAGAGCGAGTTCAAGAGCATAATTCAAAGGCATTCATTTTTCCTCGGTCCTCCTCATACGTTGTCCAGCTTTGCAATGTCACTGAAGCCGTTGAAAGTCCCCTGAGCTGGGTCAGCCACACTTTATTTCTCTAAGTGACAGCTTTGCTCTTAGATGCTTTGCATCGTTTGGGCAGCATTTTTGCCAAATGAAACTCCATGTGGCTCCTTGGGCTGCTGCTTCCGTGGGAGCTGATTGTGGATGCAAGGACAATGAAATCCTTGACAGCTTCCGTCTTTTCTCTGTTTGTAGGGATGCTGCTAATTGATCTAGTCATAAGGGGTTTTCTCTTTCTTACGTTGATGTGGAGGCCACACAAAGGCTGTCGTCTCTGATCTAAGTGCTTCGAATCTTCAGTGTTAGTGAGCAAGGTTGTGCATAGTGCAGGTTGTGAATGGGTTTCCTTCAATCCTAATGATGTCTTTGTATATCCAGCTTCTCGGGTATTTTTTTTTTTGCTCAAAATATAGATTGAACCTATCCGGTGAAAGAATACAACCCTGATGCACACCTTTCCCGATTTTAAACAACAGTGTCCCCTTGTGTTTTGGTTGGGTTTGTTTTCTTTTTTTCTTCCACATGACTGCTTCTTGGTCCACATCGAGATTTTGCATCGGCATAATTAAGTGCCCTGGAATTCCCATTCTTCTCAATATCGCCTGTAATTTGTGAGGAGCTTCATAGTCAGCTCCCTTTGCATAGATAATAAAATACAAACATCTTTCTGGTATTCTTTGCTTTCAGCCAAGATCCATCAGTTGTCAGCAGTGATAGCCCTCAGTCCAAGCCCAGGTTGACTTTCTGAATTCACTTGAACTTCTGCTAGTTCCCTCTTGAGATACTACTGTATCCATTTCTGCCCCATTCTCTTCAGCAAAATTTTCACTTGCAGGGAGCTCTGGTGGCCTAGTGGCAAGAAGCTGCACTGTAATCACAGAGGCACAAGGTTCAAATCCACTAGATGCTCTGCTGGAGAAGGAGCGGCAATCTCCTCCTCTACCAGTCAGATCTGATATGACAGTACACGCACACACAAAAATAGTAAAATAAAATAAAAAATTCACTTGCATGTGATATTAATGATGAGAACCCCTCCCTGGTGGCCATTATCCTGGGTCAAGAGCTAGGCTCCTAACTCAAAGCAGTTGTTAGCTAGGCTGCTAATGTAAAAGGTTCAAACCCGCTCTCTGCGTTTGGTGCTGGTTTGCAGTGAAATGGCCAAGCACACCAAGAAAGTCAGCATCGTCGGTAAATACAGGACCTGTTACGGTGCCTCACTCAGGAAGATGGCAAAGAAAACTGAAATCAGCCACCATGCCAAATACACTTGCTTGTTCTGTGGCAAAACCAAAATGAAGAGACGAGCTGTGGCATCCAGCACTAGGGTTCTTGCAGGAAGACAGTTGCTGGTGGTGCCTGGGACCTACAACACCATCTCGGCCATCACAGTGAAGTCAGCCATCAGAAGACGGAAGGAACTGAAAGACCAGTAGAAGCTTCCCCATTTGAACCACCTCTAGCCTGTAATAAATGGCTTCACTTATGTAAAGGAAGAAAAAAAAGGTTCAACCCCACCAGCCACTCTTTGGGATAAAGAGAAGGCAGTCTCCTTCCATGAAGATTCATATCCCCAGAAATCCTACGAGGCTGTGAGTTTGGATTTAGGGTTGGATGTTAATGATACTGTTCTGTAATTTCCAAATTATATTCCATCATCTTTCTTCGAAAGAGGCAAACACCTGTATCTCTTCCCATTGGTTGGCCAATTGACTGTTTTCCACTCTTCCTGGCATATGCAAGTGAGCACTGGACATTTTTGTTTGTTGAAACAGCTCAGCTGGTATCTGTCTATCCCTGGAGGCAGTGGTTCTTGATCATATGTTATCTCATGAAATGATTGAATTTGACCAAGTCTTCTTGACGCAGTGACTCTGTATTTCTTCCATGATCCCGTAGTGCTTCTTCCGTCCTACAATATTTTGCTCATGGAACCCTTCAGCGTTGTAACTAGAAGCTTCCATTTGTCTTCAGCTCTGTCCGCTTGAGAAGTGACGCATGTGAACTTCACTGTGGCCTTGGTTTGGTTGGTGTTTGTGGTTGTTGCCTCCAGGTCTTTGCACATTTCATTACAATACTTCATTCTGTCTTCTCGAGCTCCTCCTTCAAGTCTTCAGTTCAGTTCTTTCACTTCCTCCTTTCGTCTGTTCATTTTCCATTCAAGAGCAAGTTTCAGAGTCTCCTCTGACATTCATTTTAGCCCTTCCTGTCTTCTTAATGGCCTTTTGCATTCTTCGTGTATGGTGTCCTTGATGTCATCCCACAGCTCGTCTTGTCTTCACTCATTAGTCCATCAACTCTATTCTTGAGATGGTCTCTAAATTTAGATGAAATATACTGAAGGTATATTGGCTCTTGGGGTTTATTTTATTTTTGCATTTCCTTCAGCTTCACCTTGACCTTGTTGTTGTTCTGTGCCATCAAGTCGCCTGTGACTCATAACAACCCTGTGCACAATAGCTCTGAACCCTGTTTCATCCTGAGCCAAATCTCACTGTCTCTGACACTCCTACTCTCATTACCCCATATGTTGTAACAATCCATCTCCCCCAGGGGCTTCCCCTCTTGCATTGTCCCTCCACCCTCCTAAGCATGATGTCCTTCTCCAAGAACTGGTCCCTCTTGCCCACATGCCCACATTTTAAGCAACTGACGGTCTGTTCCACACTTGGCCCCTGGCCTTGTTCTGACAGCTGATGCCAATCTTCGTCATGGGCTCTTTCCACAAATAGAGTCGATCTGATTCTTGTGTATTCGACCCTGTGAGGTCCGCATGTTTAGTTGCTGATTATATTGTTGAAAAAATAAGCTTGCAATGTATATGTTGTTGGTCTTGCAAACTTCTGTCATGGATTCTTTTACAAATGTCATATTTTCTAAGAACAGATCCTTTTTGGTTTCCAACTTTTGCATTCCAATCACCAGTAACTATCAATGTATCTTTCAAGTGCAGGCTTGATCAATTTCTGACTACAGAAACTGGCTTTTAAAAATCACCCGTTTCTTCATCATTCCTCTGCCTTAGTGGTTGGTGTGCACACTTGAATAACAGTCACATTAACTGGTCTTCCTTGCAGATGTATGACTATTATCCTCTCCCTGGCAGCGTTGTACTTCAGGATAGATCTTGAAATGTTCTGACAATGAATGTGACACCTTCCTTTTTGTAATTCTCAGCACAATAGGTTGTGTTATTGTCCAGTTGAAAAGGGCTAGTATGAGTTCATTTCAGCCCACTGATGCCTGGAATAGCCCTCTTTATGCCTTCCATTTCATTTTTTATGACTTCTAATCTTCCTAGATTCATACTCTCTGTAGTCCATGTTCAAATTATTAATGGGTATTTGCAGCTGTTTGTTCTTATTTTGAATCATGCCACATCAGCAAATGCAGGTCCCAAAAGCTCTACTCCAGCTACATTATTAAGTACTAGAAAACATTTTCCTATGGAGGGGACATTCAGGATGGGTTCTGTGGAATGAATAGGAGGTTAGCAGGTAGGAGGAGGCCTCTCCTGGTATTGAAGAGAGCTGACTCAGGTACAGAGAACTGTGGGAACCTCCAACATGTACTGATGCATTTTATCCAAACAGATGCTCAGGGTCATCTGGACAAGGTCACAGGTGAGCAAAGCAGCTTCTTCTCACCTTTCCTGTTATTACAATGAAAAGAATCTCAGACCAGCCTCTCCTGCCCTGAATGTTACTGTTGTTAGGTGCTGTCGAGTCATCTATGACTCATCGCAACCTTATAAGCTTTCTGAATTCAAGTATCTCCCACCTTCAGACTTCCCTGGCTCCCTGCTACCTTTTCCAGCCCCTCCATACCCCACCCTGGACTGTCCCTCTGATATGAGCCCCTGTCCACCCTGCACAGCTGCTCTTCCTCCATCAGAACACCTCACTGGCATATATCTACGCATTCAGTTATTTATTCACTTGACAGATATTTATGCAGTGCTGACCGCATGCCAGAAACTGTGTTAGACCCTGGAATCTAGCGATAGGTAATAGCAGTGCCCACCTGGAGACCCCAGCCTAGTGGGAGACAGACAGTAGTCAAAGAGATAGACAGAAAAACCTGTATGTGGGCTTGGGGTGCATGTTGCCAGAGGGTGTGTGATGGGGGTCCAGCCCCGTCTGGGATGTCAGGAAAGACAGCTGAGGCTGGAAACACAAGGGCTGCCACGTGCCAGACCCAGAGTCAGGCAAAGTCAGATGTTGAGAGACCAGCAAGAAGACTAGTGGCTGGAGCCATGGCCATTGAGTGGACGTGCGGTCACAGATGAGTGGGGAGAGGACAGCCAAATTATGAAAGGACCCAAAGGCAAGCTCAGGGCCCAGCTTTTATTCTAAGTGCACTGGGAAACCATTGAAAGGCTCTAGGCAGGAGAGTATCATGATGTGATTTCTATTTTTAAAAGCTCGCTGGCGGCCGCGTGGAGAATGGACTGAAGCAGGGAGCAGAGAGGCGGTCAGGAGGCTATTGTGACTGTGCAGGCAGGAGGTGCTGGGGACTCGGACGAGGGGCTGGCAGTGACCGGGGACCTGGGACAGAGGCAGGCTCTGTTCGGGAGGAAGAGTAAGGTGAAACCTCAGTGGAGGCCGAGGACAGGAGGACACAGAGGATGCGAGTCTGCTCTGTCTCCGGGTCGGTTCGCCTCTCTAGCTCTGTCCCCCACTGCTCTCGACCCTGAAGCCTCCTTGGGTTTGCCACGGCCATCGCGGGCAGCATCACTTGGCCAGACTTGCCTCTGGGTATCTGTGACAGCAGGGATGTGCAGAAAGCAGAGGCCACTGTCCAGCCCTGTGGAAGAACACCTGGTCGAATGGCCGTGAGACGGTGAGAGCTGGTTCTGCTCAGGATTAACTCTGAGACTTTGGACACGTAATTAAAGCCATCTGAGCCTCAATTTCCTCATCTGTAAAAGGGACATGATACCATCCACTGTGGGGAAGATAGGGCAGTTCTTGCTAGCTCTTCAGTAAAGTCTGGACCTGGCTGAGCCCTGCTGGGTCTGGGTGGGGTGGTCCCAGCAAGGTACAGAGCTAGCACCCCTCCTCTCACCATCCCGCCCCAGAGCTCAGCCCCTCCTGTACCCCATCTTCCCCTGTGCTTGTCTGTCCCCAGGTTTCCCCTACGAGAAGGTGGTGCAAAGAGTCCTGTACCTCCAGGTTCTGGACTATGACCGCTTCAGCCGCAATGACCCCATTGGGGAGGTGTCCATCCCCCTCAACAAGGTGGACCTGACCCAGATGCAGACCTTCTGGAAGGATCTGAAGCCATGCAGCGATGGGAGTGTAAGTGATGAGCTGTGTGTGGCTCGCTGCAGCGGGCTAGTGAATGGGGGCTGGGGGTACATGGGAATGGCCAGGAGGGATGCGGAGGGGGCAGAGGGCCAGCCCTCAATGGGTACATCCCTGAGTTGGAAGAGGAACTTAAGGTTCCACCAGACAAGGGGACTATGGGAAACAGCTCACACCTGCCAGGTGTGCAGCAGGTGATGGAAGGGCCAGGCAAGTGCTGGGCAGAGCCTAGCAGGGCTGAGCTGTGCCCAGCCAGTGCCCACACCCATCGCTGCCCCCCTCACGGCTCCCCTTGTTCCTCCAGGGGAGCCGAGGGGAGCTGCTCTTGTCGCTCTGTTACAACCCCTCTGCCAACTCCATCATCGTCAACATCATCAAAGCCCGGAACCTCAAAGCCATGGACATCGGGGGGACATCAGGTGCTGGCACCTTGGGACAGTGGTCAGGCGGGCTGGGGAGCTGCTGGTGACACGGGTGCCGCTCTGGATGGGCAGAGCGAGGGCTTCAGGGGGGCTGTCCCTTCTGATGCCCTGTGTCCCTCATCCAGTCCTAACACCTCACCCCAGAGGCCCTGGAGCACGCCCTTTGGGGTACCTTTCAGGTCACATTATCCTGGACTCTGTCCTTCTAAGAACCAGGAAGAGGGAAAACATTGTGGAAGCGGGGACCTGGGTTCTAGCCCCAGCTGTGACATGAACACGCCCTGACCCAGTCAATGAAGCCCAGTGTCCTCTCTCGCTCCGCCAGCAGCTTGTCCCTGAAGACCCCTCTCCCCCTTGCCTGCCTTACTCCCCTGGGTAGGGACACAGCCCGCAATCCCCCCCCCCTAGTGTCCTCATCTGTCTGACTCCGCCCCCTGCCCCCCAGACCCCTATGTGAAGGTGTGGCTGATGTACAAGGACAAGAGGGTGGAAAAGAAGAAGACGGTGACAATGAAGCGAAACCTGAACCCCATCTTCAACGAGTCCTTCGCCTTCGATATCCCCACGGAGAAGCTGAGGGAGACGACCATCATCATCACCGTCATGGACAAGGACAAGCTCAGCCGCAACGACGTCATCGGGAAGGTAGGCGGCGGGCATGGGGCGAGCGCTTGGCGGCACTGGGAGAGAGCACGTCTGTCCGCCTGTCCACCTGTCCGCCTGTACCGTGCTCTCTGGGCTCCAGTTCCTCCTCTGAAAAAGCTGGAGTATTAGATGAAATTCTCCCTCCGTTTTCCACCAGCGACCTCCTGTGGGTCAGGAAGCTCAAGACAGACTGCTAGAGGTTAGAAAGAGAGTCAAGTGACAGGGAGACATGCCCTGGATCCTCAGAGAGGCTTGTTGTGGGCAAAGTGAGGACCTCTGAGCCCTGTGGTCTGGGGTCAGGTCTGTGGAGGGTCAGCTGTGTAATGTAGCCTCAGGGGTTACAGTCATACTCCAAGTTCAATTCCTACCTCACCTACCTCTAAATAGCTCTGTGGCTCTGAGCCGGTCACTTTGCCTCTCTGAGCTTCAGTTTTCTCATCTGTAAAATGGAGCTGCCCTACAGACCTCAGAGCGTGGTGTGAGAATTGCTGGAGAGAGCGGAAAGTTTTTTTCTTTGAAATGATCTCTCCTTGTCACATATTAACCAACAAAGGCGCCCCAGGCCAGCACTTTTCTACCATGTGAGTGATTCTGTGGCGTAAATCCTTCCAGTGTCCAATTTGGGAACGTCCACTTCCTATGTTTGTCTGTGTTGAGAGGGTGGGCTCTGGAGTCGGACTGTCTGGGTCCAGATCCCAGCCCCACCCCTGAACATCTGTCGTCTCTCTGCGCTTCACTTCCTGCTCATAAGACAGCTCACCATGTGCTGGGGACACTCGGTAAGCTAACATGGGTGAGGCACTCGTGTAGTTGAACACTGACCTGTCCTGCGTCATCCCCACAATTCTCTGACATACTTGAGCCCATTGTTGCCGTCACTGTGTTAGTCCAGCTGCTTGAAAGTCTTCCTCTCTTTCGCTGACCCTCCACCCTTCCAAGCATGACGTTCTTCTCCAGGGAAGAGCCTCTCCTACCAGCATCCCCAAAATGTTGTCGTTGTTGTTATGTGCCGTCGAGTCGCCTGCGACTCATAGCGACCCTATGTACAACAGCCCTAAACCCCACCCTGTCCTGTGCCAATCGCACTGTCTCCGACACACCCATCCCAATTACCCCAGTCACTGAATCAATCCACCTCATAGAGGGCCTTCCCCTCCTGCGCTGCCCCTCCACCCTCCCAAGCATGATGTCCCTCTCCAAGGACCTGTCTCTCCTCACAACATGTCCAAAGTATGTTAGACGGAGCCTCAGAATCCTTGCCTCCAAGGAGCCACCTGGTTTAACCCTTTCCAGGACAAATCTGTTTGTTTTCCTAGCAGTCCATGGTATTCTCAGTACTCTTCTCCAGCACCACAGCTCAAAGGCATCAGTTCTCCTTCTATCCTCCTTGGTCATTGTCCAACTCTCTGATGCATAACAAGTGATTGCAAAGACCATGGCCTGTATCAGACGCACCTTAGTCTCCAGAGAGACGCCACTGCTCTTCAGTACTTTGGAGAGGTCCCTAACAGCAGACTTTCCCATGGCAATGCGCCTTTTAATTTCCTGGCTGCTGGTGCCAGGACTGTTGACTGTGGAGCCAAGCAAGCTAAAGCTGTGTACAATCTCAATCTCTTCACCATACATCCTGATGCTGCCAATTGGTCCAGTGGTGAGAATTTTTGTCTTCTTGACATCGAGCCTCAATCCATATTGTAGGCTGCAGTCCTTGACACTCTGCAGCAGACGCTTCAGGTCTTCTTCAGTTTCAGCAAGCAGGGTTGTGTCATCTGCATTACGCAGATTGTTGATAAATCGTCCACCAATCTTGACCCCACATTTCTCCTCATAGAGCCCAGCCTCCCGGATAATCTGTTCTGCATATAGGTTGAAAAGGTATGGAGATAGGATGCATCCCCAGAATATGTGAAGACAAAACGTTATCAACTTCGCCTCCAGGGAGCACTCAGGCTACACCTTCTCCAGGAAATACCTGTTTGTTCTTTTGGACATCCATAGGATATTCGGTATTCTTTTCCAATACCACAGCTCAAAGGCATCAGTTATTCTTCTGTCATCTTTATTCATTGTCCTGCTCTCAGATGCATAATGAGTGACTGAAAAGACAGGTGCACCTTAGTCCTCAAAGTGACATCATTGCTCCTCAATGATTTGGAGACATCCCAGACTGCAGACTTTCCCAGTGCAGTGCATCTTCTGATCTACTGATAGCTGGTTCTAAGGGTGTTGATTGTGGATCCAAGTAGGATGAAGTTGACAGTTTCAATCTTTCCTCCATCTGTCGTGATGTTGCACATTGCTCCAGCGTGAGAATTTTTGTTTTCTTGATGTCGAGATGAAATCCATATTGAAGGCTGTACTTTTTATCTTCTTCAGCAAGCAAGGTTGTATCATCTGCATAACATAGGTTATTGATGAGTTGAGGGTCTCATAAGATTAATTTTGAGACAGTCCTAACCTTGGCCATGCTAAGGGCATGTGTGCCCATTCCAGGCATGGTGGTTTGACCAGGTGGGGACAAGAAGACCACTTATCAGGGCAGGGAGAGAGGAGAATTCCAGGAGCAAGAGAGGGAGAACACAGATCATGTGGGACGTTGTTGTCTATGGAGAGATGGGGAAAGAACCCCCCCAGGAAAGCAGGCTGAGATAGAGCCCATCTTGACAAATGAGAATGGCGTGAGGGAGGCAGCCCTAGCTTGAAAGGGGCAGCTGGCCCTGCCTGGCTTTGGTCATGGCCCGGAGAGCCTGGCCGGCCAGTCTGTGGTCACTAGTGGGACAGCTCTCCAGGACAGCAGGGGTAACTGCTCCTAGGCTTTGAAGCTTAGCTGTCTGGCATAGCTGCATTTGAACAATCCTATCTCCTGTCAGTGGAGCCCAGGCGGTGATGGATTTGCTTCCTTTCACCCTGAATAACTTAGGGAGGCTGAGTATGTCCAAGCCCAGCCTGGCCCAGCCCAAGCCCAGCCTCACGATGCTGCCCGCCCATCAGCCTGGCATGGGTATTGTGCTGCACACGTGGGCCAGCTCTGGAGCTGGGCAGCCGGCCCTGGGTGGGAGCGAGCAGTCAGCTGGCTTCAGGGCAACAGAGCGCGCTGGCTGACCGAGCTCACCAGTGGGTCAGGCTCCAGGCAGGCTGAGCCCTCGGCACGCACTGTCTCCCACGGTGGGAGGGAGGCAGACCGCACTGCTGACCCATCCACAGAGCAGGGCCTGAGGCCGGGCGGGGTCGCTTTTCTGGGATGTAGCAGAGCTAGGAGTTTCTTTTTTCTCCCAAGAATATATTTTATATTGTTACTGTTGTTGAAAACGTGCAGCAATTCATTAGTGTCTTCACACACAGTTGAGTGACGCTGATGACAGTCTTTGAGTTCCAGTCATTCTCACCCTCCTTTTCTGAGTTGTCCCTCCTCCGTTAACATAGATTCACTTCTCCCAGGGTTCCTGTCTCTTCTCTCAAGATGCTGCTGTCTCATCCTCTTTAGACAGACCTTGAAAAGCATGATGCTCAAGACAGACATTCTTGATTCAAAAAGAAAACCTCAAAGTCATTGCCACTGAGTTGGAACCAACTCATCGCTGACCCTTCAGTGGGTTTTCAGAGGCTGTAAATTGCATAGGAAGAGATTGCCCATTTTTCTCCCTTGCAGTTGTTGTTATTGTTGTTGATTGCCTTCCAGTTGGGCACAACTTATAACAACACTATGAACAAAAGGCCTGAAGCCCGTCTACAACTATAGACAGTTACCAAAGTTCACAGAGTTTCTGGAGGCATGTTGTTTAGGAAGTGGAGGCCTTGCAGTAGCAGGTGGATTTGAACCACCTGCCTTTGGATTGGCTTTGCAGCTCTTTACTCACTAGGCCACCAGAGCTCCCTCCTTTTGACTCATTGGTTTTGTTGTTCATTGTCCCTGAGTGGAAGCCACTTGCCCCATGGAGACGGCCTGTCTTTCTCCCGCAGAGCAGCTGGTGGATTAGAACTGCCTGCGTTTGGGGTTAACAGTATAGTTCCTTACCACTAAACCACCAGAGCTCCCTGTTCCTGACGCGTGAAGCTACACTACTGTTTGGTTTAAAGAAGGCTTTGGGGAGATTTTTGGATTAAGGTTTAAAAGACAGTCTCAGGCAATAATTCTGGGGTCCATTCAGCCTATAGGTCCAGAAACTCTGTATTCTATAGTTGTTGTTGAGTGCCGTCAAGTCAAGTGCAACTCATAGCAGCCTGTGAACAATGGATCTGAACCTTGCCATCTCCGTCATCTGTGACACAGTTACAGTCACATGTCAGTCCATCTCTCGGAGGGTCTCTCCCTCCTTCGAGGCTGGTTTGTGGGTTGTTTTGTGAGTTGTTTTTTTTTTAGACTTTGTTTTGTTTATACATCTTTTTTTAATTGAGATGGAATTCACACAACATACAATTAAGGGTATAATTCATTGCCATTTGCTGTTATTCCTAATGTTGTACAACCACCACCTCTTTCTAGTTGTCATCACCCAGAAAAACTCCCTGTACCCGTTAAATAATCGCTCCCCCCACCCACCCCTACCCACCCCATGCTAACCACTAATCTGCTTTCCCCTTGAATAGGCTTTATTGCCGGATAATTTTAGATTGATAGAAATGTTGCAGAGGGAGTGCAGCGTCCCCACATGACCCTCCCCCGGTCACCTGCGTTGCAAACCTCCTATATTGCTATGGTACCTTTGTCACAGCTAAGAACCTGACGCTGGGACATGGCCATTTGCTCGGCTCCATACCTGCTAATGTCCTCTTTCCACTTCCTTGTCCCCTGTCTGCGGTCTCTTCTGGTCTGTGACGGGGTCTCGGTCTTCACTTATTTCTCATGACCTTGCCAGTCTTGAGACGTCCTGGCCAGCTAAACCATAGTGTCCCCCACCTTGCACACCTCCTCTTTTGACCCCAGCATGCCTGTCTTAACCACTCACCGGTCACAAGGCAGGAAAACCTTGCCACAGGTCATCACTCGGCTGCTAACTGAAAGGTGGGCAGTTCCGATCTACCCAAGGACCAAGACCTAGCAATCTGCTCTGTGAAGGTTGCAGCCCAGGAAACACTAGGAGGTAATTCCACTCTGCTCTATGGGGCCACTGCGAGTTACAATTGACTCCGGGCCACCTAACAATAGAGACACAAGCTGAAGCGAGCAGGGCCCACTGTGGGGTTCCGAGAGAGCCAGAAAAGCAGCTGTGCTAGGCTGTATAGTCCCTAACGCCGTGGCCCAGTGGGTCTGGCTGCCACGGGGAGCCCGCACAACCTGGACGTCAGTCCTCCGCCGTGACTCTCCTGATTCTCCTCTCTGTAAACTATTGCTCTTGCTGTGGGCCGTCAAATCGGGACGGATTCATAGACGACCCTCCAGGGGCTCTCAGAGGCAGTAAATCACATGGGAGGGGAGTACATATCTTTCTCCCATGGAGAGGTTGGTGGATGCGAACCATGTGCTACTCAGCTTGGCAACGCAGTTCCTTACCTACCGGGCCACCGGAGCTCCCTGTCTGTAAAATAAGGGTGCTAAAAATATACCAATCTCACAGGTAAGGGCCCTGTGACAGCGTATAAAACTCTTAGCTCAGTGCCTGGCATGTAGCTGTGATTGTAACCAAGGAAAGACAGACAGTGCTCCGCGTGCAGCTAGGAAGAGATAGGCCTGGAGCTGCCACCAGCTCGACCGGCCCAACACGTGGAGCAGGAGTGTGATTCCGAAGGACCGGGTGTTCTAGGCTCCCAAGGGAAGAACAGAAAAGGGGGGAGGAGCCAGGGGTGGAGTGGATGAGGAGGGGTGGGGAGCTCCAGACAGAGGACCAGTCACTACAGACAGGACCAGTGCTCCCCGCTTGTGGACTGATTACGGGCAGCTGTGACTTCCCTGCTGGGTGCTGGTGGCCAGCGGCTGGACTCCTGACTGTTAACCTAAAGATTGGCGGTTTGAGCTTAGCAGCCAGTCTGCCGAGGGACGCTGTGCTTGGCAGCCTGTGTAAATTACAGCCTTGGAAACCTTATGGGGCAATGAGTTCCACACAGTCTGAGCTGCTCTCTATGAACGGGGTTGCGTTAGTTGTCAGGCTTCGCCCCGTGGTGGTAGCCAAGGGGCACTGCCCAGCCACCTGCTCGCTCACCTCTCCCTCTCTCCCCAGATCTACCTGTCCTGGAAGAGCGGGCCTGGGGAGGTGAAACACTGGAAAGACATGATCGCCCGTCCCCGGCAGCCTGTGGCCCAGTGGCACCAGCTGAAGGCCTGAGCGGGGCCAGGAGAGGCCTGGGGGGCCGAGGGCCCGGGTCCCCATCATGCCCTCACCACTTTATGCACAATGCCCGGCCTGGCTCCCCTGCCGAGGGTTGAGGGGAGGACCCTGAGGCTCGGCCAGAGAAGGGTCCCAGGCCAGGGGTCCCAGGCCTCGGCCCCATTTCTTGGAAGTACCAACCCCACCCCCACCAGCCCAGCTCGGGGGGGAGGGCCTCGGGGAGCCATTTTCCTGCTTTGCCCTTGTCCTTCCCGACTTGCTGATACCGGAGACAAGGTGGGGGAGCTCGAGAGCCAGCCAGTGGGGCGGCAGACCCCTCCAGAGGCCCGCCAGGTGGGCGTGGCCCGCCGTTTTCTTTGAGGCAGTGCCTGGAGTGGGGAGCCCGTGCGCCCCTATTTGGGCTCCAGAGAGGGGGCGTCGAGGCGTTTGGCCCCGGCCGGGAGAGGCCTGTCCCCAGAGCGGTTTCAGGCGCCGGCTGGGCCCTGAACGCGGAGGAGAGTATAAATAGCCCGCTCCGGGTCCTGGAGCCGGAGCCCTATGTACTTGTGTCCAGTCTACCCATGTGTGTGTGTGTGCGTGTGGGGGCCGCCTGCTCCCTGTCCTCCCACCCCCAGGGCGTGAAGACTTTGCTGAGGGGCCTAGTTCCATGCAGGCGAGCTGGGCTGGGCCTGGGTGCAGGCAGGGCCACAAAGCCAGGGGTGGACAGGCAGGCGAGGAAGGGCTGTGCATGGGGAGAGAGGGCCTGCTGCTGGAGCTGGGCTGAGAACCAGGCTGCCCA